GTGTGTGTGTGTGTGTGTGTGTATCGCCTGCGCGCGCGCGCGCGCGCGCGTGTCAAAAGTATAAGAAGAGAGAAGAGAACTGCCGTATCCGGGCGCGCTCTTCCTTTTCAGGATGTGAAGAGGTGAACAACGGAGCTCAATAATGGGGATGAACAAGAGGAGTGCTGTACTTGAAATCAATGAATCATACTGGCGATGGCATTCTGACGCGCTCGCTTCGCCTCCTCTTCACTGATCCTCTGCTCGATCAAGTACTGAGCAGTGTTGATCGCATTGGGATAACCCGTGATAGTCACTATGCGGTTCCTGGTACCAGGGGCGAACATGCCCTTCTTAGAGATTTGTATGTTGGCGCCACTTAGGTGCTGAATCTCAATGAGGGCACGACCACCGGGTCCCAGAATAGCTCCCACTATAACCTCTGCAATTTCTATGTCTACTTTCTTGGTCTCCTTGTTGTTGGCGTCTACCTGTGTAGGACTCTTACTTACAAGTGATAACTGGTTAGTGCCCAGGCCGAACGAATTGTTGTTCAGGTGTATCGCGCTGGCGGCGGTGTTGTTCTGTCGGAATGGATCGAATGGCTCGTACCGATCGAGGGTGTTGCGCGGCGTCGGCGAGGTGGACCCGAGCGCAGGCACGGTTCCAATCGGTCCGAACACACCGCCATTGTTGTTCGAGCCGTTCGCAGTTGTCGTACTGTCCATCGGATTGCCCAAGTAACTCATACTCGACGGCATCCCGATTCCCATTCCGAGGATATTGTACTTGGCGAGGGTCGCAATTGCGGCGAGTATCTCCGTGGCGGCGGGCTCGGAGAAACCTGTCGTACGTAGATTCAGTTTTATGTGCTCCAGCAGCTGCGTCGTTACCGGTGCCGTGCCGGTGGTGATAGCCGCGCCCAGATTCAGATTAAGACTCAACCCAGCGCCGTTCAACAAACTCACTATAAAAAAAATAGGCAATCGTATTTATTGATCAAAAATAAAAACTGTAAGAGAGAATCTCGCTACTACGTAAATATGCTTGATGTAGAGGAGGACGGGGCTATTTGGAACCCGGGGCAATTCGGAACCCTTGCTATATCTCGAATACTGCGTTATCGAATGTAAGCGTCATATAATTATAAATGTCAGGCTAAAAAGGTGCAACTTATAGATAAAATCCAGTTTGACATTCGGTAATGCAGTATTCGAGATATAGCGAGGGTTCCGAGTTGCCCCGGGTTCCGAATAGCCCCGTCCTGGACTACGTATAACCTTGACAAATTTGGAAAAACACGATTTCTTTTCGATGCTACACATATCGATACACAAGTATCACTTTGTAAATGTATATAAAAACTAGTTTCGTTCATTTAATTAGAAAACATTGCGAGCTTTTACTCGCATCAGCGATTATTTAATATCTTCGAGAATGAATTTTTAAAATTAGAAAAAAGCGATTAAATTTTTCGTTTAATAATATTTCATTCAATTTAAATCCATAACAATAAAACAAGAAAAAAAATTAAAAATACTGTGAATCGTTTGTTTTTTCTTTATCAATAATATTAAAATTAAAAAAAATAAACACATGTATTTGTAAGCTTTCTTCGGAAATTATAGAATGAGAAATCTAGATTCTTAGAAATCTTAGAATTCCAAAAATATGTAGATATTCTCAATCCTTTTAAAAGTATTCCAATTCTTATAAAATCTGAGAAACTTTCTAAAAATTTATAAAATTATGTATAAAATACCAATTATATAAACTAAATTGCAAAATATTCTGAAAAATTATACAAAAAATTCTAAGAAAAATTTTTTATCAAGATAGTGTTGCTGAAGAAATAATAAAAATTAAAGAGAAGCGCGCACTTACAAACTTATATCTATGAATATTATTAGACAATAATCTTATGATCAAAACGCTACCCTAACAACACTCGAATGTATTCGTAGAAAATGAAATCTTATCTAGATTATTAAAAGATTCGTTAGCTAACCTGTATTTAGACCAGCTGTAGATGTATATGTGGGAGTGCTCGTGGGAGCTTGAGCGTACGGGCTGCCTGTAGGATTGTAGTTGGCAACGGGACCACTTACATCCGCGTAACTGACATTAAGACAGGTACCGCTTTGCGGATCATCCGCCACTTTTGCTAAGATCATGTGTAACGCCCTATGATTATTTTCTTTCTCACCAATCACCGTGATACATCGTTCCTGAAGGGACAGATCCTTAGCCTTCTGACTGATTTGAACGTACGAGCCAGATTCTTCTTTAATTTGTTTAATGTAGTTCCCAGCTTTTCCTATTATCATCCCCGCAGTACTATTGGGCACTAAAATTTTGACCTGAAATAGCAATTTAGATCCGTCTTACAACATACAAAATTTACACTTTTTGTTTTAAATTAACTATTATAGTATCACTTTTTTCATGCGCAAAAAAAATTAGTGATATAGAAAGGAAAAATTACTATGGTTGTTACAACAATATTCTTTATACGCGCAGTTTGTAAAACTAAAAGAATGTACGAGTACATCACAATGTAAAATTACATGAAATTTTAGTGAGCACCAAGATTCTGCTATGGCCGTCATGACCTATCTTGCGAATTTAATTGTATTAGATACTGTATGCAGTCGGATATATATATATATATATATATATATATATATATCTGCACTCTCACTAAAATTTCATGTGATGCACGCACGCACGCGCGCACGCACGCACGCACGCGCGCACGCACGCACACGCACACGCACAGTCTGGCAGAAAAGTAATGACTGGTGTCGCTGCGCACAAACCAACACTGCGTTTTTTTTTTTTAGTGAAATTATACAATATCGTAACATTTTGAGGTTTCGGCAGCCATCATGAATTTCGAAATAAGTATATATACGTTTTCAAGTTTAAAGTTCGAGGACGCGATATTTTGATTGTTCAAGACTATTCTAATGTCGTTTTGATGTGAAAATATTGATTAAAAAAAATTAGAGTGAAAAATCACGGTTTTTTTTTTTTTTTTTTTTTTCAAAAAAT